GAAGAACTTGTGGAGCCTGCAGAAAAGGAAGCAAGCATTGAAGTCGGGACAGAATCCCAGGGCCAGCCTGCACTGCACATACCTCATGAGCTGGGGTGACCGATGTTCTCACCACCGAGGTCAGTGTCAAACCCCAGACCCCACGCCTGCTCGAATATCACCAGGTAGATGAAAAAAGCAGGGCAGATCTCCGCACACATGATGTTTGCAGTAATAAAATGCAAGCATAGGGATGAATACTTCATAATGCAAAGTCCAAGTCTTAAAAGCTGGCAGAAGAATGGAATATAGACATTCATAAATTCATTCATCCTACAAATATGTATTAAGCACTTTAGTGCCAGGCACTGTTCTAATCACTTGCAGCAATATTTCTGACAGACACAAAGAGAAAAAAAGAGAGTGAAGTATACTATTTTACTCCTCACCTCACTGTTTTGTGGAAAATTTTGACCATTTTCACAGTATTCACACACACACACATACACGCACACACACAGCTATATGTCATCTGTCTTGTCCATTTCAGGGATGCTCTTAAATATGTCAGGGCAACAGAGGCTGCTCTTAAAATTGAGTACCTGAAGCAGCATGACTGTCTCAAGTGGACCTGGAGAGGGTATGATTTCCAAGCATCTCTCAAACTCTGGAAAGCACTGAGGCAGGTGTGAGAGCACTGGGATTCCCACCTTCTGTTCAGTGAGTGAGCAGCTCAGAGAGACAGTATGCTGGGTGGGGCTGGACTCCCAGCAGCAGGCTCCCTCTGTGTGAGTGATGCTTCCTTTCAGCTGCTTCAAGCTTGTCCCTTATAAACTTCAAGGGGAGCAGGGGTTAATATTCCCTAACCTGATCACGAGTGGAGCAGTGGTTAAGAGCCTGGCTGCTAACCAAAAGGTTGGCAGGCAGTTCAAATCCACTAGCCACTCCTTGGAAACCCTATGGGGCACCTCTACTCTGTCCTAAAGTGTCACTATGAGTCGGAATCAACTCAACGGCAACGGGTTTGGTGGTTTTTTGTCTGTTTGTTTAACATGATCACAAACGGCCACGTTCCAGTCCTCTGTCATATCCTTTTAAACTCAGACTCTGCACTAAGAAGCATGCATCCCCTGGTTTGCATTATTTGTGGCTGCATCCATATACAAGTGTGAGTACTGCCTCCTGCATTTATTAAACACAAACAGCTAGACTCCAGCGGGCTAAACAGAAGCCATTTAATATTATTATAGCTTTTAATCATTTCTCTAACAGAGGAGGTCAATCTTCTTCCTGGAAAAAAACAAAAAACTATTTCTAATGGTGCTTTACCCCTTACAAAACACTTTGGCATACACTTCCCTAGTGTGATGCATTCAACAATGCCACGAGGTAGGTAGTATTATTACACTCATACTACAGATGGATAAATATGTGGCTTACACGGGCTCAGCTGGGATGTGCCCCAAGATAACCCAACCAAAACATGGCAAAGCCAAGTCTCAGTTCTATGTCTCAATCCCTCATTCTCTCTACTTTCAGAAGAGTGTGTCATGCTCATTCGTTTGTTTATTCCAGAAGTAAATACCAAGTGCTTGCTCTGTGCCGGGCCCTCCCTCCACCTCCACACGCCACTGTACACAGCCGTGCTCACGTGTGCACACTCAATTCCTTGACCAGTTTCCACGCTAAGTGCGAATGTGAGGATTAATCCAATCAAGCTGTCAGAGTCATGAGACCTTCTGAATGGGTCCTCTGGACCACTAATTACCATCTTCTGCTCTGGGAAAAAACTGCCCAAGAACTAGGGTCGGCCTTACCTGCCACTGAGCTGTTAGCTGACCACGAGGGTATAGCTGTCCGCCTCTGGTAGAAAAGGATGTATGCCGTCTGTGTGCAGACCTCATCTTCAGCCAGCTGCTGGACATCGCTGTCATCGAAACAGTACCAGACGCCGTCCACGGAGTTCTTACAGTATGCTGCCAGAGAGAGCCCGCCGTCAGTACCAGGGCCAGCTATACCACCCACTCCACTCTAACAGACACTAACCCGCGGATCATATAATTAATTCAAGAAGACTTTAAGGCTGCGTGTAGTAACGTAGAAACAGGTTTAAAAAAAAAAATCCAAATTCCCTATCACACTCAGGCAAAATGTTTTGAGAAATTCCAAATTATTCCAAACAGATAAAATTCTATTTCAGCTTAGAAAACACTTATTTATTTAAGTATAAATGGTTTTTGATCAAGGGCAATTTTGCCCCCAGGGGGCATTTTGCAATAAATAGAGATATATTTGGCTGTCATAACTGGAGAGGGGGTGCTACTGGCATCTAGTGGATAGAGGCAGGTATGCTGCTAAACATCCTACAATACACAAGACAGCCACCCCCTCCCACAACAAAGAATTATCCAGCCAAAATGTCAGCAGTGCCAGGGCTGAGAAACCCCAATTTAAACATATTGCAACATTTTAGTCTTTACTAGAGATGGAAAGTAACAGGAATAGAAATAATAATGTAAATAACGGCGGGAGCTAATCTCTCTTGGTACTCTGTGCCAAGCATCTCATTTAATCCTACCAGATTTGTTGTAGTATTACTCACATTTTACAGAAGCTCAAAAAGATGAACTAGCTGGCCCAAAGCCCTGCGCCTGGGAAAAGGGCAGAACCCAGCTCACTTCAGGCTTATCTCATCCTGTGCTTGCACTTAAACCCCACCCTACCCTGCCTCCCTCTGAGAGTACTCAAACAACCCCGTTATTGTGTTTGCCTGCAATCAAGTTGTGTTCCCCAAAAATATGTGTTGTAAATGCAAACCCTATACCTGTGGATGTATTTCCATTTGGGAATGGGGTTTTCTTTGTTATGTTAATGAGACTACATCAGTGTAGGATGCTTCTTAAACCAATCACTTTTGAGAAATTAAAGGAGCAGATTAGGCACAGAAGCAAGCAAAAAATGGAGAAAGATTGATGCCACGTGGAGATTACCAAGGAACCAAGGAAGAGAAACTGAAAGGAGACCTTCCCCCAGAGCCAACAGAGAGAAAGCCTTCCCCTAGAGCCAGTGCCTTGAATTCAGACTTCTAGCCTCCTAAACTATGCGCAAATAAATTTCTGTTCGTTAAAGCAACCCACTCATGGTATTTCTGTTATAGCAGCCCTAGAGAACTAAGACAACGTCCCATACAAGTTCCCTGGCAAACTGAGAACACATGAGCTCATGAAAGAATGGGGCCTTCTCTCCAGGTCAAATTCTAAGCCTGAGACGGAAATACAGGGCATTCAAGTACCAGCAAGAACAGACAGAATCTTAAGTGTTCATGATGCCAAGTCATCCTGTAAGGAGAGTTACAAGCTTGATACAAAAAGGTACATTATTATCACATTTTCTAAAAATACCCATTTATTGGGGTGAGAATAAATGGATGTTAAAATATTCAGCTGAACCCTGGGATGGACTCAGTATGGCCCCATGCAGGACACGTGAACTCTTCAATAGGCCACAACCACTTTTGCAAGTATGGAACCTTGAGAGATGAAGGGGACTCAGGTGAGGAAGGGCTACACCAGCCAGGTCCCCAAAAAGGTGAAGAGAAAAAAAAAACAATGATTATAGGGAGGGAAGCTATAAATTCACTAGAACCAGAAAGAAGAGAAACGGAGACAGAAGCAGCAAATGACGCCATAAAAACAGTGCTCTTGGTCAATGGTGTCGGGCCTGACGTGTAAGTGGCCCAACTGGTGAGGTGGCTGCTATTCTGCAGTGGTGAGCGGGAGCAGTAATGGCAGGGGGAACGCACCTAAGACAAGGTGGCAGCAGTACCCTGCACTTGTTCCAGTCTGTTTCTCTTCAGAATGGTCTGTTCTCACTCACAGCGTGGAAACTGAGGCAGCACAGTAACTCATGAATGGGTATACGAGGTATTTACAAAATAATTCTACTGGCATCTTTTATTTTTTGTTTGTATCTAGCACTATTTTCTGAAGTATTTTCTAGATCAGTGTTACTCAAATTGTGGTCCACAGACTGGTGCCTGTCTGAAATTGTTTGTTACTGGTGCACACAACGTAAGGACCGAAATTGAGAGCAGACACTTAGAAACTTCTATAACAATCTGATACCGCCATGATATTTTTACTGTTTTTACAAAAGTATTGGTTCATAAAACCTTTGCTGGTTACAAGGGATGGGAGGGGTGGGGGGGAATACTAAATAGACAATAGGTAAGTGATAACTTTGGTGAAGGGTAAGACAGTACACAATACTGGGGAAGCCAGCACAACTTATACAAGGAAAGGTCATGGAAGCTCAACAGACACATCCAAACTCCCTGCGGGACTGAACTGCTGGGCTGAGGGCTGTGGGGACCATGGTCTCAGGGAACATCTAGCTCAACTGGCACAACATAGTTGATAAAGAAAATGTTCCACATTCTACCTTGGTGCGTAGTGTATGGGGTCTTAAAAGCCTTGAGCAGCCATCTAAGATACTTCACTGGTCTCACCCCTTCAGGAGCAAGGGAGAATGAAGAAAACAAGATACAAGGAAAAGATT